TATATATATATATATATATATACACACACATGTATTACATATCAGTGCAGTAAACTATATAACGTAACGTCGCCAACATAATATATAGTTCATTATCATTTTGAAATGTCAGGCGGCAGGCCACATAATGAGCATTAGGCAATCGACATAAACCTAAATAAGACTAATGATTGTGCTGCTATGATTTTCAAAATACAAATTAAATTTTATATAATTTAAAGAATCTAAAAATCTAAGAATTCAAGAATTTAAAAAAAGAATTCAAGAACAGTATAAGTTCTTGAATAATAATTATTGAAATTTTAGTTAATATCTCTTATTAGATTATATTTTCCTGATGCTTTGTTAATTCTTGAGATAATTATTACATAATATTATCACGTATAAGTTTTGACGATATTAACAGTAATATCAATTGCGAATAATTGACACCTTAAAATTTATTGACTGTTAATAATTTTGCACATGTGTATCACCAGACAAAAATAAAAGCATAATAAAAATTAAACTAAGCTTCCAGAATCAAAGATTTTAAACTTTATAGTATGTTTCAATTTTAATAAATTTTACGTAAATTTTTAGATTACATATGGAAATATATAAAAAAAAGAAAAACTAGGTTTCCAATTTCTTACAATTTGAAAAATTCGATTTCTATTGCTTTTCGTTGAAAAGATATTTCAAGTTTTTCAAAGTAACAAACAAATCTGTATATATGAAGAAAAATAGGAATCAGGGAAAATAGGTATGAGTACAAAGTCTTCAGAAAAAGACTAATCCTATAAACATCATCTGTTTATAATTAAAACGTACATGTCGGAGCAAAAACATAAAATTTATTAAAAATCGGAAATGCGAAAAACACTTTTGCGTATCTTACAATTTCAGACCATAAACTAACATTTCGTCTTACTGACTAAAACTATACAATTGTACAAAGATTTTTAACCTCCTACAATATAGGTCATCACATTTGACAATATTACATATTAATTTTATATATAATACATATAATACTTCTGATGGGTCTAAAAGAATCCGCTTCTCACCCATGCGTGTATGTACATAGGTCCGCGTTAGTTGATGGTCTGTAGACCTATATTTGCAAACATAACTCTTGTAATTGGCAGTACGCGAAAGGGAGAACAAAAAAAAAGGAAAAAAAATCAGGCTGAAAAACATAAATTCCATTATATACGATACTAGAGTAAACAGGAGATAGAAGCAAATACATGATAGGTATGGTAAATATTTCGCCAAGCAGATAACAAAATAGCACAAACAGATGCGAGTAGTTCTCCTATAGAGCATTAATCCTATATTTATATTGTTATACATACATATATGTATCCGCGCGACTGTACGTATATACAGTCTCAGGAGAAAGAAGATTGGACCAGGAGATAGTAACGGGGGGGGGGAGGGGGGGGAGGGAGATATTGAACGATACAGCCTAACGAGATTTAGCGAAGTATCTTAGAAGAAAGATCAAATGTGTCGTTTGATCACAACAAAACCGACTGAAGAAATCTGCTTCTGTTACAATTGTTGTATCGATATTATATCGAATGGATGCAGCCTGCCTGACTTACATGAAAATTTTGTTTAATATCGAACGTAATATCAATACGTGGTGTATATCAAGCAGCAATTTCACGAAATCTACGTGGGCAAACTACCGGTTTCGTTCAGAATTATGTGACCGTTGGAGAAATTAGTGGGCGTTATAGATGTTCTGGGACTTCCACTTTGGCTAGTATCGCAGCTATCGCTTTTGTTATCTGTTCTTACATTATTATCTAATCTAGATTTATAGGTATGCTTAGGAGACGTTACTGGACTCGAGAGAGAGCAACTACATCCACTTTGGTTGCTATTACTAGAACTGTCGCTGTCGCTTTCACTGTCGACACTCGATTCGGAGCTGCTCGCGCGTAATCTCTTCTCAGTACGTAACATCTCGTTCTCCCGCCTCAGCTGCTCATTCTGTTGCAGCAGATCGTCGATCCGCTGTTGACACAGCTTCAATTTCTTCGCTATCTCAGCGTCCGTGGCGGACACGTTTTTATTCTCCGAATCCCTTTCCTCCATTTGATGAATGCCCTTATTACGCAATCTTTTCGTTAACGAGTCCATCTTGGCCTCCAAGTGCCTGTACTCCTGTATCAATTCCATCTTCGTCAACGTGCTCAATCGCTCCTCGTGAACGGCCTCGTACGCGGTTGAGAATTCCTTCGTCAGAAATTCCTCCTCGTCCTCCGGGGACGAGTAGAAGTAATCCTCGTCGGAGTCCACGCTAAAACTAGAATCGCGAGTGCGCGACGGCGCCGTTGGCTTTTGAAACATAGCAGGTACTTCCAGTGACGCAGCTTCCGATAACTTCTGCTCGAGATCAGGCAGATCGCTGTGATCGGCCATGAGAAATTGCGTGGTGTTGTACAAGGCTGGTGGTTGCCTGCTGGTCTTGGCGATCCTACCGATGCACCTGCTCCGCAATTGTTGCGGATAAGACAGCTGCTTCGAGTACGGCTTTAATTTCTTGTGCTTGGGCTTGCCTCTCCGAGTTTTTCTCTTCTTCGCCGCAATGTCCGTTCCGTCCTCGTGCTGACCGCCATCCTGATCGCCGCTGCCGCTGCCGCTCTCCAATCTTCCGCAAGTGTTTGTAAGTGACTTGGGATGCTGCACATAAGAAAAGCATATCGTTAAGGAGATTTTAAAGTCATCTGTTTTATTGAATGAAAAATAATTTGTTTTTACATGTCACTTAATTTAGTCCTCGTCTACAATAGGTGTAGCAAGCCTTAAGCCGTTAAGAAATTGAACAGCCAGTTGATTATTTCTTGTTATTTTTTTTTAACTTTAGGACTTGAGATTTTAAAAAATTGACCAATCATAGTCGATTATTCATGTGAGAAGAATAATCGATTGTGATTTGGTGATTTTAATTTTCTTAAATCTTAAGTCATAGACGCTGCTTAAAGAAATAACAGAATTCTTAGAATTAGATTTGAATATCTAACATTTAAAAAGTCTGTACACAAAATTTGTTTATGCATATGTGTGCATATACAATATTGAAGTAATAAACATTAATACGTTTCTACACACTATTACATCAATATCGGACGTACACATATGCACAAATTGTCGTTAAAAACAGCGATGGAGTTTGGTCTTTAGTTTAAAATCCCTTTAAATAAATATACAATATTTACGTGATAATTGCAATTTTACAAATTTATAAATGTCTGTTTTACAGGCGTAGAATAAATCACCAAACTATTAAATAATAATTATATTATTTAATAGTTTGATGACTTATTCTACGCCTGTAAAATTAAAAATAAAAGGATCATCGACCATATGGGTAATTTTCGTGTCCAATTATCAATAGTGTCTAAAGATAATTGAAGAATCGATATTATCGACAATCAAAATTATTTTTTCTCAGTCATCTATGTAAAAATGTCTGAATTATTAGCTATATAATGCAGCGAATTAAAAAAATTCATAAATTTTTTATAATACAAATATTTCATAAATAAGCATGCATTATACTTATATGACTCAATATTGTCATACATACTATCATAAAATTTCTAACTGCATAATTATCATTCAATTGTGGATATTAAACACTAATATAATAAAAAAAATAAAATTTTAAATTAAATATTATTAAATCAATATGAAAACGTTAATAAAATTAAATATTAAGATACATGTATATGCAAAACAATATAAATATAATAAATTATAAAATTATATTATATACTATAATAAATTTGAGGACTGTTCTTTGCTAAACTATAGTGTATGTACATTGGTTGCACTTAAAATAAAATAGATATTTGAAATTTGACGAAAGCAAGGCAGAAAATGTTGTGTGCAATTCTTCAGTGCCGTGACAAAGAACGAGCCCTTGAATTTAACATGATTAAAAAATTGAGTCAATTTAATTTCAATAATTTGAATTTCGAATACAAACTCGTGTAAAATTATCGAATTTCAAGTAGTACCTTGGCAAATGAAGGAGGCATTTTAAAAACATTCGTATTATTATTGTCACTTATTGATCGACCGAGGCTTACATTCCGTCCGTTCGAGCAATCGACGTTGTCCCGCTCCGCGTTCTCGCCAGCAGATCGCGGCACCCGCTCGTCGACCGGAGGCGATGACGTCGCAGGCGTTGGCCCAGCCTCTACGCCCTTCGCGTCGCGTACTCCATCATCGACGTCGTCGCCCGGCGCTTTCCTCGTCGCCGTTTCCGTCCGGTGCAGCTCCATACCCGCGATACGTACCCGGGTCCGTTGATGCGCGATGGCACGATCACGCACCGGCGCCGAAGAGTCACACTCGCGTACTGGCACCACCCGTACGCGGCACTAGTAACCGTATGCTCGCACCGTAAACAGCGACCGAATCGCCATGTTTGATTCGCCCGTGATTCTACCATACGATAGCCAGGCGCGCGGCGACATGCTGACGTTACCGTCCCTACCCCCCGACTATCGCGACGCGCGGCCCTCTCTTGCGCCATCGGCGCCGCGCGCGCGGTTGTTCCGTTGGTTCTTCCGAATCCGCGTCAGCGCCTTCCTCTCCTCGCGCATGTTGCTTCGATCCCGCTGGATCGCGCTGCTGCGCTCTATGCCGCTGCGTGCGCTGCAAAATACAACCCGCAACGCAATAATTGATATCGCGCGACGTGTTGTTATAACTTGATACGTATGTATACACGAATGTAATTACTGTTATAATTCGTAAATACGTGTCTTTCTGTAATTATCAATGACCACTAGCTGGTTTATCGTATATATACGTACATAACGATCACGGGTGGCGCAGAAGGGTGGCTGGTGTGTTCCGCGCGGCGGATTACCCCATCCGCGCGACTGGTCATAAATCACATTTCATTGTTCCATTGTATTTTTTCCGCTGGTTGCTATATAATGGGCCTGTGAAACTGCAGAATCCTTTCGGCGCTTCTTGCGTCGGTCGTTTTCGATTTATGTATTAGGCCCGTGACCGCGTCGATCCTCCGCACGCTTCTCGACCTCACGTTACCTGTCGTATATTTCTATCATTATGAAAGTAGAAATCGCGCATTATGGAAGCTACTCGAAAGTAGAAATTCCGCAGTATACCATATAGGCAAAATGTTAATGGTACACGGAGAGAATTTTAGTTTCAAATCTACCCTGAAAATCATGTTAATTGTAGGACTGCATGCGGTATTTTGACGAATTTTATATGATTTTTACTATTTTTTTTAATATTCTACCCTGAAAATCATGTTAATTGTAGGACTACATGCGGTACTTTAACGAATTTTATATGATTTTTACTATTTTTTTTTTATATTCTACCCTGAAAATCATGTTAATTGTAGGACTGCATGCGGTATTTTAACGAATTTTATATGATTTTTACTTTTTTTTTTATATTCTACCCTGAAAATCATGTTAATTGTAGGACTACATGCGGTACTTTAACGAATTTGATATAATTTTTACTATTTTTTTTAATATTCTACCCTGAAAATCATGTTAATTGTAGGACTATACATGCGGTATTTTAACGAATTTCATATGATTTTTACTATTTTTTAAAATATATACTACAACAAATTTATTGTACAGTAAAATTTGTCGAAATACTATATGCTGTCCCACGATTAACAAAATTTTCAGAGTAAACTTTAAAAGGAAATTCTCTCCGTGATATGCCAGCGGATTCGAGCATCGCGGCGGATCGGCGTCAACCGCGTTCGCGCATTATATTGCTGAAGCTTCGTCTTCCACCAGCCGAGCTTGTCGACATGTAATCTGACCCAGCAAATCGTCAGCTGCAGAAACCGAGCGGAATCCTCATAATTTCGTATAATTATTTAAAGGGCCATAAATCTCGAGTTTAAACGATTCGGTTGCGAAACCGGCGGAGTTTCAGCAGTCGGTCTCTGCAGTCAGGCTGCCGTCATATAATTCCGTTAACAACATTGTGTTTGTATATCCACGCTGGCGTTTTGCCGACGAAATTTGCAGTGATTTTGCAAAATCCGCGCTCTTGACAGATTTGCCTGTCGTCTGTGCGATATCGAGATCCGAGCTAATTAATTGACAACATCGCGACGAGCAATCGCAAATCGCGCGTCTCGATTAAAGGCGATTAAAAGATGTATCTTACAGCGGATGCAACAGAGTGTTTTTATATTCTCAATCCGTGAGCTTGCTTAAATATCTTGTTATGCGTAACAAGCGCATCGTCCACACACCGGTTTCGAGAAAGGTGTAAGTGCGCATTGCCTCATCCGCGTCCTTGCACACACACACACACACACACACACACACACACACACACACACACACACACACACACACACACACACACACACACACACACACACACACACACACACACACACACACACACACAAACGCGGAAAGGTGTATTTTTATTCGACGACGATTCCCCGATCGTTATTCATGATCGTAAAAAAACTAATTCCCTCGCGTACGACAACGTAAACAATTGAGATCTGTTTTTTTAATCTGCATTTATATATAATCTTTTGCATTTTAAAATAACGCGCGAGTACATATACATATTCAGGCGTTGGAAAACTATCGTGATAATATTCAATCATTTCCTATAATGGGAAGAAATTAATTTAACGAGGAGATAACAAGGACAATTGGGGATAGTACAATGAGCGAAAAGATAATTTTTTAGATTACTTAATAGAATTATATTATTTACAACTAATTAAATAAATAAGAACTTTATAATTTAATTAATATTATTCAGACGCAATAATATTATTTAACGTGTCACAGTTAATAATTATATAATAGGTTTATATATAATGTGTAACACAACGCGGGTTAAACTCTTCAGCTGAAAGAAAGATAAAGGAGAAAAGAGGCGAGAGAGATAGATAGGTAAATAAAGCGTTTATTATCGTTCTAGAATGAGCCTTTTAAATTTGTGTCCACGCGATGCTAGAAATCAGTCCCAGAGGGGTTTTATTCTCGAAAAATTGCGCATATAAAAATATAACACAAGGGAAATCCTGTGGTACATGTAACGTATATTTATAGCATTTTCGTACAATTTTGTATGCTAAATTCTTCAAGAATGAGACTCCAGATTTCGAACGGAAAGAAATTGACCAATCATTTCATTGGCCGAATTATATTCAAATACAGGTGGTTAATTCTTTCTCTGTCCGAGATCTGGAGCCTTATCCTTGAAAAACTTAGCACATAAAACTGTAGAGTGAAGAGAGAGAGAAAGAGAGAGAGAAGAGAATTGATCTACCGTAACAAATTCGGTCAAATGATGCGATTGGTCAATTCTTTCTCCGTTCGAGATTTCGGACTGATTTCTAGTCGTGGACATGAGAACATACAAAGAAAACACTCTTTTCTTTGTATAAGCAAAGAAGAATAATAAAGAGCAGAAGAGAAAATAACAGACATACAATAATATGACATAAAACGAAATAAGAAAATCCAAGAGGGACAGAGAGAGAAGGGGACACGGTAAAAAAATATTCTAGCGAATACTCTTCCGTAGTTGCGAGCAAGCGGAAATGTGTCGTTTACAAAATTACGTATTGCTATTACATAAGACCGCTAAACAATAATCCGTGTGCTTATTGAGACGTCTTCGTCGTCTCTCGCGCGCTCGAATTGCCACTCGGTGATACTGCGATTGCCGTTAATTGGCAACTGAGGGTAAAAAAGATGTTCACTCGCGAGCAAAATCGTTCGTTTAAAAACAGAAGTGCGCGTCGCACGCATGACCTGCAGCACGCGCACTTACACAGTCAAGTTGACTCTCCGTGTACGTGTCACGTTACCCGATCGCATTGTGATCGCGATCGAATCATCGCGAGGAGGAAAACGGACTTTCGCAATACGCCGGCGCGCGAGTGTATACACATCCTTCATTACAAAATGCAATTTCACGTCGGGCAGGTCGTTGCACTCGCTATCTTTCATAGACCGACGTGTAGATTCGCGTCTCTCTGTGGGAAGAAAAAAAATGAAATCACTTGTCGAGAATAACAGCTGCCAATTAATTGCAGCGCAAAAGGATACTCCGCGGTCCCTCCCCCCCTCTCTCTCTTTCGCAACAACCATAACAAACCTGATTGTACCTTCTCCAATTGAACGACGCGACATCGATTTGTTATCGACGACGTTGCTTAATTAAAGGCAAACACAAATATCGCTATAACACGATGTGGAGCCGGGATAACGGAGGCGTGGTGGGAAAAGGGGGGGGGGAGGGAGGAGGAAGAAAGAAAGAAGAACGTTGAAGCTCAAAAGTAATCCTCGAAGAAGAGATAAGAAAGCCCGAATCTCGCGCGAGAGAGCCTCGTCAGAGCGCGGCAGGAGAGAGAGAAGTAACAGTGATGCGTCGTGGTCCCCGCGACGATCGCACCGCAGCCTCCTTTTTCTTTTCTCCTCGTTCTTCCCTCCTTCCTCCCCCCCCCCTTCCCCTCGCTGTTAGCACATTACATTCGTATTTATTTTAGCGTATGCGTAACGATTCGTGCGAGCATTATGCGTTCACCCGTTACACGATTCGCGAGATCCTGCAGCGCGCGCGCGCGTGCACGCGTGCACTCACGCACGCACGCACGCACCAGCATGCACCTTACGTGTATATCGCCGATACGCAATCCACCACCGGGTGCAATGTACGTGAACGCACGGAGGATTATAAATATGGGGAGTCCGCTACATGTGGAAGGAGGCAGGGAGGGGGGAAGGGGGTCTGTATGCCCCGGCCTTACAGCCTGTTTTCTTTTGTCTCTCTCTCTCTCTCCTTTTTCTTTTTCGTTTGTTTTCGTTCTTTCGTTTCTAAATGTGCGGATGCCATTCCTCCGTGTCGTGTCGGGGAAAGGGGAAAGGATGGAGAACAGTATAAGAGGGACGGGAGTAAGAGCGGTGGGAGAGAGGGAGGGAGTACAACACGAGGGGGTATTTAACTAAACTTCACTCTCACTCTGCACGCGCGCGCGCGCGCGCGCGCGCGCGTACTATCACCGACGACGCCGCAAGAGAGAGAAAAACAAAAGAGAGTGAGAGATGCTCGTCGTGCGGAGAAACGCTCGCGGCGTACACTTACGGGAGCAACAAAGACACCCTGTCGCGTCACGTGATTAATTTAATTACATAAACATTTTCGTGACATAGTATATATTATGAGAGCCTTGACTGATAAAATGATCGTTTTGAGTGCCACTCAGAAAAATGTAGCACATATCTTCATTTTATAACCTATGTGGCGTGCGCTCGCTTTCTCTCTCTCTCTCCTCTCTCTCTCTCTCTCTTTCTCTCATTCGCTCGCGTGTCAAGTCGTATACGTTACAGCGTGGCCTTAAAGGCCGCCGCACACAGATTCAGCGGTAGGCTGTAATCATAGCGTACAAAGTCTCTCTCGACAAAGAGAAGTCTCAGCGTGCGAAAACATGATTAATTTATATCGACGATTCTTTAAATTAGTCTCCCACATTTGCGACGCCGCGTGGGTATATATACTTTAACGTCCTCGCGCGCGTGTCGGCGGAGAACGAGTTTCGCGTGTAAATTTACGTAATAACGCATATAACGCGTCTGATTAAATGAGTGAGTGCGTCTCGGACGAAAGAATTATTAACGGTGTAAATTAGGCTTATTATTTCCTAGGTGTCCCATCAGTCCCACGAGTATTTCTGTTATCGGTATATAGCGGCCTGTACCCGACCTGACGCGGAGTCGTTAACGTCCGTTAACATCATGTGAATTTACACGCGGCGTATCGGAGTATCGCAAAAAAAAAAGCATCTCCCACATGATGTATATATACGTTCCGATATAAACAATGTACGTGTTAACGGCCGCATAACGCGCGCTATATGCCTCCTATGTCAATTCGAGTGTGCCATGAAGTGCCCAAAGTCGTCATTCTTCGCCGCGCACAATCGTGATTTGCACACACACATACACACATGTGCGCGCGCGCGCGCATACCGCACGAACACCACATATACATATTCAGTCCGTTCGTCTGTGCGCCTGTTCTATGCGCTATCTTCACTCGGAACCTACTTTTCGCTCTCTGTGTGTGTGTGTTTTGCTTGCGCGGCGCAAATGTGCGATACACTTACATATGGGTAGGCACGCGTTGACGGCGCGCATGCGAGTGCGACGGAACAGAGAGTGTGGTCTATCAGGTCACATTTGTGCGTCTTATTTGGAGAGAAGAGGGATCTCTGCGAAAGGAGAGACACACACACACATACGCGCGCGCGCGCGGAGGAGAGAATCGAATCACTTTGTTGCAACACCTTTTGCCTCGACGACGGTCGTTGCGTCGTCGAGAGGTAGATCTGAAAAATTTCATTCCGCGCCTCTGTGTTTTTCTGGACTAGAGATCGTCCTCTTTATTTGTCTCGCGTATACGTGTGCAACGTCTATATATACTAGCAGGCCAGAGATTAATTGATATCGATGTAATAATTTCAATCAGGTCAATTGTCCAATAAAAATGTATCTCGCGAACGCGAGTAAACGTATTATAATAGAGTATACTCCCGCATTCGTGTCTGTCGCATCGAAATCTCAACTCCTACCGAAGTTATATCGGGTCTCGCCACGCGATATACAGGCCAGGGGATCCGAAGGGAAGGAGGGGGGAAGGTAGCTAGAGAGATTGAGTTAACCAGGACTAGCGCGTTGATCAACGCTGCGGTGCGCGACCGCCGTGCCGCGAGTCGAGTCGAGTCGAATCGAGAGCGAACGATATTTCGTTATTGATAATTATATATCGTACTAAAAAGTACTCTCGAGATCGCGGGAGAGGATCGGCTGCGATCATATGATTATGTCGTCTCAATCTCGAAACGGTTACTGCGTCACGTGCATGCGGCACGACGGACGGCCGGTCTCGCAAGACGGGTCTAACGACGCTTCCCCATGGCTCTCTCGCTCGCAGCCATGACAAAGCATCGGCTCCAATAGAGAATTCTCCGAGCGCGAATCGATGCACGTGCCGCGACGGGATACACACGCCGCGCGGCGCGTAGCGCTTAGGAGGAATCTCGTGGTGGTACGCGCGGCTCAGCTGGAGGCAGGCAGGCTCGTGCAAGCTGCGCCGGTATATTCAAAAGTCTCCCCAAGTAACACACGAAGTGTCACAAGAAGATCAAGATGATGTCAACTTGGCTGAATTTTGACGAAAAATTTCATGTCGAATCTTGGCCAAGATGACATCATCTTGATCTTCTCGTGACAATCGGGTGTTACTTGGGTCCGGGATTCGGGAGGGAGGAGGGGTTTCGCGAGGAGCCTCGCGCGACGACAGTTGGATATTTATATAAGTGCGCATATAGGACTTCCGCGCGTTATCGTGCATGCGTGCGTGCGTGCGTACGTTCAGTAACACGCCGCGGCTTCGTTACGTTATACGTGCGCGCACGCGGATGTAACGTCCGCGCGGCGCGGTGGCCAGCTGCGGTCTCTCGCAGCCGCGTCTTCGTCGCTGCGATGTATCGCCGCTTAGAGATTCGGAATCGGGAGATGACTGGAACGCGGTCGTGTTTCCCTCCCTCCCCTCTCCCTCCTCCTGCAGTACGATTTGTTTGTCGCGGTCGTGCCACGCTTTCTTGCGTTTAAAACGAAGTAGATATAGACAGTCGGACGTTGGAGGAAGAGAAAGAAAGATTGGGAGTGAGGGGCGGGAGGGAGGAGAGATAAGAGATGCGAAAAGCTCGGCTGCAAAGAGCCGAGCCTTCCTTCCGCATTGACGGATTATCAATCGGAGGCTGAAACCTGCGACCAGCAGTCGATTGGCATCGAGCGCGCGACGCGGCTAAATTATATCTTTAACGCGCAAAACTTAATTGCGTTGCCCATATAATACGTGACCGCGCGCGTATGAAAAAAAATTAATTATTTTATTTCCGAAAACGTACAACCGTAACCTGACTGTATTCTCCGCATTTGTTTCCTCTCTCTCTCTCTCTCTCTCTCTCTCTTTCTCTTCTCTCCAACCGAAATAAAAAATCTTGTTTTTTCTTATTAATTTTTTTCATGTAAAAAAATGCAGTTAAAAATGTGGGTTAATTCTTACTCTACGTATATATAACTGCACCTTACGTATTTGGCTAGTGTAATAACTGTATTTTCTGTTGGCTTGGATAACGTGAAAACAGTCAAAGGGCAATTAAAAAATGTAATTAAAATATGAAAGAATAAATATAAATAAGAGATGTGATCCAGGAGTCTGCACTCTGCAGATGTGATAATTACACAATACCCACAATACACGTGTGTGTAATGCGGGGTATTGGTATGTACGAATGGTAACATAGGATAACGATGTTATCGCGAACAATACGATAAAACGGAGTTTGAAACAGCTGACGCATCTGCTGCGTAGATGGAGCGATTGTAGCTAGCTGCGATCACGCTAAAATTATTTTCTCCCGGTATTATATACAAAATTGCGTCTGCTGTTTTGAAACGGAATAAAATGGTAAGAAAACTTAGAAACTTGTAAATAAAAATGCTCAATGGTGGCAAAAATCATGTCGTTGAGAAGACACGAATTATTCGTGTTAGTGTTAAACTCGTCAAAAAGTGCGAACGAATAAATACAATGCCAAAGCTGCAGCTTTGTAAAAATAGATATTTCGTCATCTTTTCGACATTGATAAGCGTATAAATATTATTATTATGAAATGACGAGAATTCTTCAGTGAGAACAATCATGCAGTTTATATAAAATGACATTCAGTATTGATATTAAGTATAAACCAAGTATAGGAGGTTAAGTATAGAAGGTTAAGTTCGACGATGTTGAGTCTCCCTCAAAGTGTCGTCTGCAATGAGACTGAAGACTTAAGATTTAAGAAAATTGACCACCCATAGTCAATTATTTATCTCACGTGAGAAGAACAATCGATTGATAGGTCAATTTTCTTAAATCCCAAGTCCTAAGTCTCGTTTTAGACGCCGCTTTATGACATATGTCTTTTTACGACATACTTTTGCTTCTGGCAAGACGTTTTATTATACCTAGAATGTCGAGTTTATAAAATGTTTGATGAAACCGAGAAATTGTTTCCCAGAGCACGATTGTGGCAGCAGGTATTGGCCTGGCGGCTGTTGGGTTTGCGGGTCGTTATTTGTTCAGAAGAATGCCGAATTTATCACAGAGAATGGCAGAGACAGTGAAGAAGCTAGATTCCCAGGTAAAAATGTCCTTAGCATTTTTCATCTACCTAGTTGCACCGCTTGCTTGCATACAAAAGCAAAGCTGACTCTTTGTAACATTCGTAGTCACTAGCAAACAACAAGTATTACAAGGGTGGTTTCGAACCAAAGATGACCAGGCGGGAAGCCAGTCTGATCTTGGGTGTGTCGCCCACGGCTAGTAAGATCAAAGTAAAGGAACAATTTAAAAAGGTAATGGTCGTGAATCATCCAGATCGCGGTGGTTCCCCATACATCGCCGCAAAAATTAACGAGGCAAAGGATTTGCTTGAGAAATAATGATTAAAAATGTAGCGTGCTTGTAATATATATCTGTAATGTATTTAGGAACGAAATTTCAATGTACATAATTATAATTTTAATCGTATACATTATTCTATGATAAATATAATCTATTTTTGAAGTTGTATATTAGAACAATTTTTTGTTTTTAAATATATTTTTACCAGACGGATTGTTTGTGCATAAACAGAAACCGCATGTACATGTAAATTCAGGATTTAATTAAAATGAAATACCACAAGGATAACTATTTTTCCAGATGTTAATATTTCCATATCGTTAATTTCAAAAAATATCACAATTGTGCAACTTTCGTCATAGCTTATAATATTTTATATTTTAATATTCTCTGTAAAATATTTATAACTTGGTTTATTACATTGTATGTACAGTAAACTGAGATAAACTTAAAATAAATGAAATGTATCTTATTTATACATTTCTGAATAGGCATTATATGTATGTACAGCAATCAAATAGAATAATTATGCAGTAACAATATAATACAGCTTTATATGCATTCATTTTGCAAAAGATGCAAATGAATGATAAAAACAGACTAGAATATTTCGGTGTATGTGAAAAAAAAGAATCGGTCATTAACACTATCGTTCTAACTTATCTTGTTTTCGTTTTATACGTTGTTGCATAATCTTTGCTCGTAATTTTGCTATTGTGCTCCCAGGCAGTGATCCAGGTACTTTAAAAATACTCTGCAAAACAGCGAAAATATTTCTATAAACGTCTAAACTTTCTTCCCTATTCGATGTATACACATCTACATAAATCTGACACACAAATCTAACATACCTGCATAAACTCGTGACACTGCAAAACAATACTGTCTTTCGTAATTTCCTTAAAACATTCGGCTAGCGTTGTAAAGTCTCGGCAAGCTAATAAATTAGATCTGTTCCTTTTTATAAGTGTCAACGCGACACGGAAGATAATCTTGGTACCCTCGTAAAAGAGACAATCCCAAATACGCAGAGTAGTCTGTAAATTTGAAAATCACGTTCACAACCTTTTATAGCCAAAATATTTGAAGCTATTACAAGCCAAGTAATGAATGACACATTGGAGAAAGTCATTCCATGATAATTATGACGTACCTCTATAGGTAAAACTTCAGCAAACAAACACACAAACCATTTAGTCGTAATTACTGGCCAGGGTAGTCCTATGTTCGTTACATGTTGATACACATCAGGCATTTTTATCCTGTAAGAATAACGTGTATGTACACAAACATTGTTTGACGAATGAAATTACAGTAAAGTCTGTGCTTTACCTTACTAATTCTGCGAGCACGTCGATATCAGTCAGTAGGCCATCCATAGTGCATGTATAATAATCCGGCAGGATTCTATCAATTAATACTTTTAGCAACCAAAATGCTGTCTCCTCGCTTTTTGTTACAAGCAGAAGCAAACCCGCTATATAGTTTAAGCCCTGAAAAAATATTAAAAGCATTTTTTTTTAAATAAGATAGAATAAATTTTTTTACTTGAAGGCTTCTTCATAAAATCGTACTTATTATTCGTTAAATTTTTTATGAAAATCTTGTTACTACAATAAAACTCCGTTTATCCGAAAATGTCGGGGACAAGACAGTGTCTAATAACCGTACGGTTTGAATAATAGTGGCTTATTTATTAGTTTTGATAATAAGAGCTGGTGTGAGAAAACTGAAGTCGAGCATGTCAAACTCATACTAATCGAACCGATATGAAAAGTTCAGCTATGAGTTTATTTATTTTAAAACTGAGCACAAATTTATTTGTAAAAATAGAGCGCGGATAAACGGAAATTTTACTATATTTTATTCGTTTTGCTCGTATATATATTTAAGAATATGCACTGTAGACGCTACCTGGCAATATCCAACAGTTTTGTTTTGATGAGCGAAAGCCAACAAAACGTTATATAATTGATGCTGCTGATTCTCCGTGTTATTAAAGAATATATTGTCTGGAAATGTTCTTGGGAGGTCGGTTTTAATAATCTCAGCGATTTCTGCATTGTGAGGGGCTAGCAGTAACTTTTGATACAGATCTGACGACGCATTCCTCATGTCTTCTCCACCGCTTACAGCGAGCCATACCTGCGATGGGATTCAATTCTCTTGTTGTCAGTTCTGCATTGAACATTTAAAATATGATAAAATGAGCTTCGCAATATATATTACCAATCCTCTATGTTCCCCTGGAATGCCTTTACGAACATATCTCTTGATCGTGATGCTTCGCTGCAAAGACTTTCCCTCGCCAATAACTTTCGCCCACTTTTTGGCCATCTTTGCGAGCACCTTGAGGTACTCGGACATAAAATCTTCGTATGTTTCATAATCGAAGTCGTGCGGTCGTTCGAAACCATATTCGTCCACATCACTGAAAATAAATATAATAACAGAATAAATGCAAGCCGTATTCGGTCAGCATTCGTAGCTGCAGATTTTAGTGTCAATAATGAATTCCGTTTCATGCGCATTATTTTATCTTTATTTTATTTACTGAATGTTAACCAAGACCAAGGGTGAAATGATATCATCCCCATCATACATAAAAGTAGAATTCAACCAATTTTTGTATGAATGTTTTACAATAAATCTATTTACATAACATATAAGTATTATATTATATATCTATTATAATATACTAGATATATAATCTAAGTAGTTAATTATTACATCTTACGATATCAAATGCAAGTTATTGTTGATTGACAAGTAAATATTACGCTACATATTTTCATGCCACTTTCACGACTTGCAACACGAACGATTCGCTCATTAGTTAATTAATATAAAATCAATTAATAAGGATAATAAAAGGTAAAAAAACTTTTGACAACGGATTAGATAGAAAAAGAGGAAACTGCGAGGGTCTCTCGTTTTCAAAGATGATTCAAGGGGCGGGAACATAACCTCGATGAGGCAATAAAATAAAAGGACAAAACAAATGCGATATTTTTTAATCGATGACTCTGTTCGAGAATCACGGCTGGCGTTCGCGGAACGCGACGCACGCGACGCGAGTGCACGACTGCAGGTTCCGCGGGGTTGAGGGTGAAAAAAAAAGAAGAAAGAACAGCAGGTAACAATCACCTGAAGCATGAACTTGCCATGCCCTATGCGACTCGGTGTCGGAGGAGAGATCTTTGATCGCGTGCGCGTGCAGCTGCAGCTACGTCCATAGGTGTTCCGTGTGAGACGAAACCGCCCGCGGTGCAGGTTTCGCCTATCGGCGCGGTGACACCTGATCGCGCCCGCGGTGAAACGCTTCTCGAGACGCGCGCGGAGCGGAGAAAGGAGCACGGCGTTGGAGCTCTCGCGGCGCGCGCCTCTCGTCTCGCTCTCATCGCGAGTCGCGCGAGCGTGCTCCGTTCTTGAATAGTCCCGAAGTGGTGACGCAGAAACAGAGAAAGGCGGGGTTCGTGGTGTTAAAGAGAGGGTAGAGTTGCGAAAGGCCGTCCCCCGAATCCGGGACGCATCGTCGCCGAAGAAACACCCGCGGAATCGAAGACGCCACCAAATATAGATTCGGCCGGTTCGCCCCTGCGAATTGTGACGACGATTTTCATCATCGAGTCGCGCCACTCTCCGAAATCCCGCGGAGATTCGAAAAGAGAAAGAGAGAGAGAGAGACTCGCGTAATCGATTGTGCGCGAGATCGAGTTTTTAATTGATCATCAGGCACTTACACCCTGGCGCCGTAAACTTCCGACCGCGGTTGCGGTTTCACTTTTAAATAAGCTGTAGGGTAACTGTCCCTATTATAGTGTGCCTGTACGTTTTAATGTGTTTTTACATTTAAATAAGTTATAAAAATAAACTGGTACAAATAAATAGACAGTGTTTTTTTTTATATTAAGTTAAAGTATTAACTTAATAAAAAAAAACACTTTGTCTATTTATTTGTATCTGTGCTTTTATATTTAAATAAGTCATAAAAATAAACTGGTACAAATAAATAGACAGTGTTTTTTTATTAAGTTAATACTTATATATTAGTGTGCTTTTATATTTAAATAAGTCATAAAAATAAACTGATACAAATAAATAGACAGTTTTTTTTTTATATTAAGTTAAAGTATTAACTTAATAAAAAAAAAACACTTTGTCTATTTATTTGTATCAGTTTATTTTTATGATTTATTTAAATATAAAAGCGCACTAATATATAAGTATTAACTTAATAAAAAAACACTTTGTCTATTTATTTGTATCAGTTTATTTTTATGATTTATTTAAATATAAAAGCGCACTAATATATAAGTATTAACTTAATAAAAAAACACTTTGTCTATTTATTTGTACCTGCAGTTTATTTTTATAACTTATTTAAATATAAAAGAACATTAAAACGTACAGGCACACTAAATGAGGACAGTTACCCTACATAATGTTAGTAATCTATATCTGATGAGGATAAATTCCTGCTAGAGCCAACTCTATCGATTCTATAGGCATTTATGTATGAGAAAAATTATCACACATGGTTATCCGAAAGTGGGACAGCGGTCCTGAAAAAAATATATATAAATCGGTACACTCGGGCGCCGTAAACACCGCGCTTTTACACGTCTGAAGTTGGATCCAGTTGGATCAGTCGCTGCGCGGCGCGGCTCTCGCTCGTAGCCGGAAGGAACGGTCGATAGTGCCCAACTTCAGACGGAACGGCGTGGATCATCGTCGTGCTCGTCGTGCGGCACCGCATCGACCACATGGTGACGGCGGCAGGTGACGGTGGGTGACGGTGGATATTAAAATGGCTTCGTCCGTACCCTGTGTCGCTGGTAAGCATTTTTTTCTCTGCCAGATATTCGCGCGCACATGCGAGACTGTCGATCGCCGAGTCCCAGGCGACTCGCTTCCGAAGGATGATGCGTGCCGCCGTACAGGCGAATGCCCGATGGCATTCCGCATGCTGCATGCGTTGCACCTGTGACGAAACGTGCTCGGCGCACTCGCGCGCGTCTCGTGGCATCGCACGATTCGAGTGTGACTCGCGACGATGACCAGCTGATGCGTTCGACGAGTCACGGACTCACCGTGAAGCGGATTTACCGCGAGATTCTGTACTCTAACCTCCAACTGATGTGACGTGTGTGTGTGTATGTATGTGTGTACGCGCTTAATCCTGTACCCGGAATTTTTGGTCTTTGGTCATTTGCAATGGGATGATTTAGAATACAATTTGAATTAAAAAAAAAAAAAAAATTGTATGTTTCAAAAACGTTAAAAACAAAATTGTGAATAAGTTACGTTCCATCAGTCTTCCACTCTAGTAAACAATCAAATAACGAAAAATATATATCTGAAAACTTGAACCTTAGCAGTTATAATACTCATAATGACCGATATTCCAGGCAGAGGGTTAAATATTAATTGTTAACGCGAGGTTCGCGAGAGCGATAACGCTGGAGGAAAAGAGAAATGTTGAGATATGTTTACATATTTACCTTGACAGCCTTGATACATCCCTCCTAGAAACGGAGATCCTTTTGTTGTTTAAGCGTCTTATTCCATTTAGCCTGGATACTAGATATATTACCTAATATACTAATTAAATCTGCAATTTTTGTCTTGTTCCATTCCAAGCGTCTTATTTCACTTAGCCTGGATACTAGATATATTACTTAATATACTAATTAAATTTGCAATTTTTGTCTTGTTCCATTCCAAGCGTCTTATTTCACTTAGCCTGGATACTAGATATATTACTTAATATACTAATTAAATCTGCAATTTTTGTCTTGTCTCATTCCAAGAGTCTTATTCCATTTAGCCTGGATACTAAATATATTATTTAATATACTAATTAAATCTGCAATTTTTGTCTTATCCCATTCCAAGCGTCTTATTTCATTTAGCCTGGATACTAGATATTATCTAATATATTAATTAAATGCAATTTGTGTCGTTATTGCGTGTAAAACAAGTGTTGTATTTTTACAGTGAGAGGGTCCAATGGTATAAATCTAGCGTACGGTCCACCGTCCTATGAATCGGTCAAAACATTTCCCAAAGATGACAGCAAAAATTGCAAGACCATGCTCTTCAGCCCGGACGGTCAGTACTTTGCGTGGTCTAATGGATCCAAGGTTAAAATCGTCCTGTGCAAGACGTGGCAGGTTATCGTGGAAATCCAAAGACCTAAAATTTGTGCTCTTAAATTCTCCAGTTACAGCAATTACCTCGCGACTTGGGAACCATCCTTTGGTAATTGGCGCAAAATTATATTGAGTATAAGCAAAATCTCGTGTTAATTTCATTGTATTTATAATTAGAAATATTGATATAATTTTAGTAACAAAAGAAGAACCTCAAGGATCACAAAATTTTCACATATGGAAGTCTGAAACAGGTGAACCAGTTCAGCATCTCATCCAGAAGAGATCGGGAGATTGGTAATGTATTACACGTTGATTATCTTAATCTTCTTTTTTTATTAACTCGTTTAAGGAGATGCTGAAGGAACAGCTGAACTCCATGGAGTCACTGTTTTACTCACGATTTTGCATATGTATATGTGCGATATTGATGTAGTGATTACTGTGATGTATTTATGTTTATTACCATATCAATATCGCGCGCATACACATCGTAAAAATTTTTGGTGTACAGATTTCTCAAAAATTAGATGTCTAATTCTAAAAACTCGATGTTGTTTCTTTATATATTCTGTTAGGTTAGTCACTGTAATTTCATAAATATGAATTTTAAAGTTTTTATATCAAGTGTATTATCACGACTTGATAGCTTTAGACGCCAAGAAAATGGTAAAAAAATGAATTAGAAACTTTTTTTGTTTTCGATATAAACTCTGGACGCCCGACATGTATTAATGCGTATGCTTTAATTTTGAAGAAGTATTTTTGTGAATCTGTTAAAATAATACATAGAAATTATTATATCTAATCGATAAAACGAACAAATCTCCAAGATCCCCTTAAAGTTAATTTTTCTGATCATAAAATTCTCTACATTATATTAGAGTAAGAATAAATAATAATTAAACTATTAATTGTGTTGCAATTGATATATTATTTATTAAATATATGTGCGATGCATTTATTGAAATAATTTTATTTATGTAAACAAAAAATAGGGAACCGCAGTGGTCGAGTGACGAAACGTTCTATGGAATATTGAAAGGAGGAAATGTTCTTTTATATGAAAATAACAACTTCGATAGATATGTACACAAAATAGGTAAAGGCAACATTGCCAAATTTAGTATAGCACCTGGTAACGCTCCCTATCATATTCTCTGCCATATGCCAGGTAATTATGTCTATCTTTATTGCAATAGTGTAATATTAAAGTATAGAATTTTAATTGCAATATGAGATACTGAAATGTGGAGATTGTTGTACATTTTAAAGATATTTAGATTAGCTATTTGGTATAACAATTGCATGTATAAATGTATTTAATATAGATGTTTCATAAGAACTTTATAACAAAATGCGTAGTTGTTACAAGTTTTGAAAATATAAAATACAATTTTATTAATTATAAAGTATTTAATAATAAATTAATATATTAATATTTCAAGTCATTTGAGTTTAGCATTTAAAAGGTAACGTGTATAATAACTATTGAATCAAATAATTTAGAAGTAATATAATTACATTGAATATGCCATGTGCCATTTATAAGACACTTTTTGTATTTCAGTTCTATTTATTTATATATATATATATATATATATATATATATATATAAGTATTTCTTATAAATATAATAAAAATGATAGAACAAAGATCCTAAAAGTTTGGAATATATATTGTTAAATCATATATAAAAAGAAACATATAATAGGAAAACACAGATTAGTATTTTTCAAAATATATGAAATAGGATTTGCAATAGAAAATTTTCTTGATTATTAGCATACAATTTACATGTGTAAGTACTTTTTTTTGTTGGAAAAATTATATTGCTAAGATATAAAATTTTCACAATATAATTCTGATAAATATCTCATTATGGATTAAATATGTAGAATAAAGTATTACAAATTTGAACATGGTACAATTCTGAACAAATTAACATTTTTTAATTCAATTTTGAGGTTCGAGTTTGATAACTTTGATCTCATTGTGTAGAGGTTATTAAAAAGTACCATCAAACAAGGAAAAACCAAATTTGAACCTTGAAAATTGAATTCAAATTTTATTTTGTTCAGAATTGTATTACATTCGAAATTGTATCATTTTACTCTATCAAATTTTATGTGTCTGCATACATGAATTATTAATTAGCATGGCAAAACTATAACGTATATATTACACTATAGCTTATTGTTAAGCTCAATTTGAAATGTTTTTACGTTATTGTTACAGCACTCTCCACATTTAATATCTCTTAATAATTAATAATTTACATAACATTTACGTGTATTATATAAAAGCGTTAAATATGTATTAAAAAAGATTATTTTGATATGTAATTTAGGAAGCGCCGGTCAACCTTCCTTTGGAAGATTATTTAAATATCCAAAGTTCGAGATTGGAGAAGCGATCGCAAGCAAAAGCTTTTTTCAAGTAAATTTTGAACATGTTTAAAACATTAAATGTTAGCATGTTTTTTTTTTTGGTTTTGATTCATTGTCTTTCTTTTTTTAGGCAGACAAAGTCGATATGTATTGGAATCAATCTGGAACAAATGTTTTATTGATGACAAATACGGAAGTTGATAAGACCGGCGCGTCGTATTATGGAAAACAGACATTGCATCATCTCAACACAAAAGGGGAGACTTCTATGGTTATGCTCAGTGAGTCCACATTTTAAATCATCGCTTTCAATTGGCATTGAAAGTTTAGAATATAAACGAAATTCTAATTCTAGAACAATATTGTGTTTAACAGAAATTCTTCTGATTAGGTAAAGAAGGTCCTATACATGCAGTGGAATGGTCTCCCAGGAACACAGAATTCTGTGTGACATACGGCTTTATGCCGTCTAAAACAACGTTATTTAATTGTAAATGCGAAGCTGTCTTTGAATTCGGCATGTTGTACAGAAATAGTATATATTATAATCCACATGGCAACAATATCCTTTTACTATCTTATTACGAACTGAATCTAACGTTACGAATGAATCTAAACATTAATACTAATTACATCTATATATATACAATTTTTAGTTATAACAGTACTCATAATATATAAAAAGTAATGTGCTGAAAATTGTAAGTTATTCGATTAGATTAATTTCCTTGACTACTGTGTACTATTGCTTTTGGCTGGGTTTGGTAATCTTAGGAGCGGCATCGAATTATGGGATGTCATTAACAGAAAACTCATTGCTAAAACTGATGCACCGGACACCACGCTGTTGCGATGGTCACCAGACGGTGAACATTTCATGACTGCAACTACAGCACCTAGATTACGAATTACCAATGGGTAAGTGGATATATGCAAAGAGAAATTGTGCTAAGATTTTGGGGCACATTTATCTTTGTTGTACAATTAATATGCGTATTAAATTGTTAGATTTAAGATTTGGCATTATACCGGCTCGCTAATATATCAACGACCATGGAATAACCAAGAGGAACTTTGGGAAGTGGCGTGGCAAAGTTTCCCTTCGAACGTCTTCCCACAGAAACCTATTAGTTACAAAGCAGTTGAGGGTATTGTCACTAATCATGAGCAGTCACAAGGTAATTGGTCCATTTTATTGATTATTTTAGAATTAAATGTTTCTAAACATAATTTCAAAATAAATACAGTTCAAATAAAGATATCGGTTACTAGAAATTTCTGAAAAAGAAACTGTTGTATCTTCAAAATTAGTTTGACACATATTATTATTTTGATTATGTTCTACTTTGCCATTTGTTCTTATACGATATTTTTACATAAAAATTTAAATTGCATTTTTTTTGTTTATTCAAACTAAATAAATGCAATTATTTGTGCATTTCCAGCACCAAAAGAAGCATATAGACCACCATGTGCCAGAGGGCAAAATATTACATTTAAATTGCATGACGATCTTGAGGCGCCTTCTAAATCAATGGAATGTAAGTATACAAAACACATGCGAAAGAATATTTCGTTAATTCTATCTCATTGAATTTATTTAATCCATCCAGCAAATCCATCAAAAGCTGCATTAAAAATGAAGAAAAAACGGGAAGCAAAGAAAGCTAATAAAGAGTTAGAGTCTAACAATCCTGCTGTTAGTGAACACGTTACAAGCACAACAGCGAGCCTAAAGATAGAACTAACTGACGATCCTGAAAAAAACAAAAAAATTAAAAAAATAACAAGCGTAAGTATCTCATTTTAATGATGCCTTTCCTTTTGTGTCTTACATTATTATTAGATTTCCTTGACTATACATATTAAAGATTAACAATTTTTATTTGTGTCACAGAAATTAGATCAAATTTCTAAATTGAAAGAGCAGTTGAAAGCAGGAAAACAATTAGAAATCAATCAATTAGACAAGATTAAAAAGGAAGATGAATTGCTAAAAGAACTTGAAGAACTTACTTTATGATAAATCATACAAATATTAAAAAGAATTAACTCGTTAAATAAAAAGCGCTATAACAGAATGACTTTTTTGAAGTAAAACGATATCAAGAGACATGAATGAAAAATGATCAAATTGTTCAATGCAGCTCTGCAACTTGATAAAAACAACGAGATTATATTATGAGAAATTTTGGATGAAAGACCGAATCTCTCTCTCTTTCGTCAGTTATCGATTGATATTGAATCCAGGAATTGTGTTCGTATGCATAAATAATTATATTAATTTTAATCAACAGAGAACTCTGCTAATGGTACCGTATTCAGTACTATTAGAGGACTACTTATATATTTCTCCTGATTTTGTTATTAATATAAATAGAGAGATGATGATAGAGATAGTTGTAGTGTTTATACTACCAATCTTAAATCATTATGTGCAGTTGAATAATCATTATCGAATTAACGAAAGTTACTTACGGACTGAAAGTTTATCAAATCTTTTCCGAAATGTGTTCCCGACGACATGAGAATGTAATATTGTTGCAATTTGTTCTGTTTAATTTTTTTCCACGAGAAATTAATTTTAGAATTGGAAGTTTTACAACAACAAACATTTAGAGTAGTAGATTTTGCATTTAAATCATCTTTTCATTTTGCGCATTTATATAGGAACACTACTGTCTGCAATTGAAAATTACAGTTCAGATAAAGATATCGGTTACTAGAAATTTCTGAAAAAGAAACTGTTGTATATTTAAAATTTGTTTCGGCACATATTATTATTTTGATTATGTTCTACTTTGCCATTTGTTCTTTCTTATGTACGATATTTTTACATAAAAAATTTAAGTTGCAATATTTTTGTATTATATCAATATTGGGGTATAAATTCTTCTTGTAATTTTTAACATTTATGGACATAAATATAATTACCGTAATGTATTATTAAGTATAAATAAAGCATTGGAACATACATTTTTCCAAAGTGATAAAATCTGTTCAGCTGAATGCACTGCACTTCAAGAATAATATATAAGAATGACGCATCAATGAGAATCTTATATAAACAGGAATAGGAACTACACTTGTTATGTACAGTGAGATGAGATTTATGGAAATAAATTCTTAAAGAAATTGTTGTTCGAATATTAATGAGATATGCTCTATTCACGAGAATAAACTCGTATCTTACATTTCAGAAACTTATTCTACAGAGAATCGCATCTTCGGTTATTTTAAAATAACGATAAAAGAACGAAGTATCTATATTTGTCAAGAATTAATTACAAAAGAAGTAACTTCGAATTATGCGAGAAATTATGATCGTAAATAACGCATAGTAATAATTATAATATCGAATGTATATCTGTCTTTGTTTGCATTTTTTCTATATTTCTCTTTCGTTAATCCTATTCGTTCGAAATATCCCTTCTTTTGTTCCAAGAAAATTATTTTTAATATGAGAATAAGAATATATTGTTTTTGCCTTATTCTCTATATTTACATCGTAACTGGAAGAAAGATGAAGAAACAGGCAAACAAAGAAGCAAAGCAAGAGGAAGAAACAGGTAAATTAAGAGATTCGTAGGATGACCTGATCAAAGTTTAATTAACTTAAACGACGATCAATACAAATGCTTCAAACAAAATTTAAAATTATAATTCGGCCTTAATCTAATCTGTGTCAGAATTACTAATTTTTTTCATGTGTCTAAAAATTAGTAATTCTGTTCACATTAGCAAAATATGAATGATTTATGAAACCTTCGAAGAGAGACTTTGATTAATTTCATCGGCAATTAATAGCTTGTCGATTAATACTCATACCCTTTGTTTTTTTGTTAATACGGATAATTATTAATTTTTTGCTTGACATTTGGAAATGGAAGATAAAAACGATTAATTATATCTAGTTAGAAATTTTGAAAAGTTTCTGCCGGTTAATTTAATCGCCAATTAAATTAAAAGTCGTCCTAAATATATTTTTTAACAAGTGACAAGTTAATCATCGGTTAATTAATGACTTATCAAGGTGATTTATCAAACAAAATCTGTATATATTATTTTGTATTTTACACATCTTAAGTAGAATAATTATAGTCTTTCGTTAAGTATTTTTCTACATAAAAATATTAGATTAAGAACAATATGAATTACAGCTAGAAATTTTGCGGTAAGCAATTCTGCTGATTTAAATTATTTTTTTATTTTTTTAACAAATGACAAGTTAATCATCGGCTAATTAACGACTTGTCAAGGTGATTTATCAAGCAAAATCTGTATATATTATTTTGTATTTTACACATCTTAAGTAGAACAATTAGTCTTTCGTTAAGTATTTTTCTACATAAAAATATTAGATTAAGAACAATATGAATTACAGCTAGAAATTTTGCGGTAAGCAATTCCGCTGATTGAGTCAATCGCCGCATTTGATCGTAGTCGAACTTTTCTTGTATTCCATTTTCTCTCTGTTCCTCCCTCGAAAACTGTCGTCTCATTTCAAGTGGAGAAGGAATGCAGCGCAGTGCGACAACAAAGGAGCTGACATTCGTACGTACGGGGAGATTCTGTCGCTCGTTCCCGGCTCGTCGCCGCTGCGCCGCGCCGCTTCGATTCGATTGAACGTTCCCGCGCCATTCCTTCGGCGCGACCGGCAGCGCCGTCAGGCGGCGAGGACGGCGCGACCGGGGGACCGGGGCCAATCGCGGGCGTCGCTCGTCACCCCGTCGTGGCACGCACGTCGTCTCGGGCGAGAGCACCGCAGCGCCGCGGCAGTCGTGTTTACAGATTTTGCCAGTTGAGTTCCGTAACGTCACGTCAAAAAAGTGCAACACACGAATTTCTACCACGTTTTACTATGTAAAAGGTGCGTTCCCCGACGGCGGAGGTACGACGCGCGGATCGTCCGCGGCCCCGGGTGGCCGTACGCCCGGGAATGACGCGACTCGCGCGACCGTGGCCGGCTCGCGGGCCGGAATATCGGCGCTTTTCTCAATACACGGCAGTGCCAATCGTTAGGATAGTCGCCATTTTGTCCGGAGAGGTAGCCCGGTTCGGAGGCGAACGGGGCGAAAATAGGCGCTGCCTGGACCGCGAGGATCGTCGTGGTTGTCGTAGGTGGTGAGCCCGCGTGGTCGCTCGTGGCCGTCGCCCCGTCGCCGATCCCTCCTGGGCCGCCGGGGATATCGGCGCGTGTCTCGACGGAGGTTCGCCTCGACCGCGCTCGTCGGCGCCTTCCCCGACCGACCCGAGAGTCGCCCGTTGTCCGCGCCGCAGTCCGGCCAGCGCTACGCCAATCCCTCGTTCTCGACGGCGCACGCCGTATCCCCCCGGGGGTTGTTCGCAACGTGGGCGAGAACCGATCCGCGGTCCCGTCCGCGGGGCCGATTCCCCGGCCGCGGGGAGGACGCGCGCTCGCGACGCGTACCCCTTCCTCGGACGAGGCCTCCGCCGACCGGCATGGCCGCTCCCTCGTCGTCGTCGTCGGCATCCCCGCGACGTTGACAGTTGGCCGCGGCGTCGGCGGGACACGTCCGCTCCGAGCGACGACGACGTCGTTGTCGATGCTGGACGACGGCTCCAAGTCGTGTCGTCGCGCGAACATCTCGAGAGTCCGCTCCTTCAATTTTTTATCCTACCCCGTGCGGGCCGCCTACGCCGCGCGGCACGCATGCCGTTCCGGTTAAAAACGCACGTAACACGCGTCGCTTTGAGCCGAGATCTTGTATTCGCGGTATTTCGTAGATCCTCTCTCCCCCCCCCCCGCAGATGCGGCGTTTAATCCCGGGCCGATCTCGCCGTCGAGAAGTTCCACCCGCCGCTGTGGTCGTGGAGACGAATTGCTCCGATTTTATGCGCCACCTCGAGACCTCGGGAATGTTGTGATTCTACTTACTCTTTGTCCCGCCGGCTGTAGCAGAGTTTGTCACTTCCTTGAGAAAATAAACGCTTACATAACTGTGCTGTCGCGGTGCTGTGACAAATTTTTAAATTCTCCTGTGCTTGAATTGTAAATCGAATTTGACGACTGTCATCATCGTCAGGCCTGACCGTATTACTGAGGACACTGACAGCGCACGGCGCCTGGTTGTGTTTTCCGTCTCGGTGTCTCGGGGGGGGAACGCGATGCTAAAAATTTTGTTTATCTTTGTTACAGATAATGTAGGTATAGTTCATTAAAACAAGGCCTTTAGGATATAATTATATTTAATGTCAGTATATAAGCTGGATGCTTGTTATTGGTGGTGTAATCATTGGACCAAGAAATATTGAGACATTTGAGGCGTAGCGAAGAACGTGTAAAATGACGATTGCCACTAGGGGCCAGGGAGTTGGCATAGACCCTCCCGACAGCCAGCAAAATACGCAGGTATACAGATTTGAGAGCTTTAAATTAGCGAGAGTAGTAGCACGGGAGGCGTATCTCGCGTGTTGCGAGGTCGAGTGACAAGTGGATTGGGGGAAAAAAAAAATGAAAAAAAAAATAACCGTCTCCACAGATGCACAGTCCACCAGGTCCACAACAATTGGCTGACACAATGTCGGGACTCCAGCTCACCGAGAATGTGGTACAAACGGAGTGCAACAATGACGCTATCACTACGGTAGAAGATAGCAACCAGCTTCATGAAGAGCCTGAGTTTCCTATTTTCAAACTTAATATGCTTCATGAGAAGATATCTAGTCCACGATGGGTTGTACCAGTTCTACCCGAACAAGAATTAGAGTGCCTGTTACAAGCCAGTATCGAACTTTGTAAAAAAGGTTATGTATTGTTTAAAAATTTTTTTCGAGATTAATTGCTCATTTCTTTGCACAAGGCGAGGGAAGTGCGTTTTTTAAGATAACGTGTTTCAATGTTTTTTTTTTATTGGAGGCGTATCTACAAGGCGCATCAATTTTGCATTTATTGTGTTCCAGGAATTGATGTACAAAGTGAAGCGTGTCAGCGCTTTTTTCGAGAAGGTCTCACAATCTCATTTACCAAGATATTAACAGATGATGCAGTAAACAGTTGGAAATTGAATATTCACAATTGTATCAATACTAATTGTGCACGTTTGGTGGAACTATGTGTCCTGAAATTAGATGAGGACTGGTTTCCTCTACTTGATTTACTGGCCATGGTTTTTAATCCTAGTAATAAGTAAGTGAACATTACACTATTTTGTGTGTGCAAATTATATAAAAGCGGAGTTGCCACAAAACTGGAAATGAGGGAAAAGTCAGGGAATTTTACAAAATTTGTTGGAAAATTAAAATTCTTATCTTTAAAGACATTTTAATATGCGTATATCACACACTTAAACAGTTTTGCTAGCTAATGTAAACGCTTTTTAATAGAGGTTTAAAATGCTTCACTAAGAGCACTAGAATTTTCAACTTGTCTGTTTTTTGTTGGAATTTTAAATTTATTTAAAACTTTTTTTTTAACTTGTTAGTTTCTTGTGTCACTTGTGAACAAATTAATAAAATTAAAACTTAATTTCATATTTTTATAATTCTTCTTTCAAGTTTGTAAATTTTTGTATAATAGCAAGTCGGAGATTCGAATAAACAGGATTTAGTTTTTATCAAAAAGAATCTATATTTACATGTTTCTTGTATTGTAAGCAGAGGAAAAGAAATGTACGCATATGTAAAAGAAAAAGGTAAAGGAATAACTAACAATTAAGTGTAAGCAATGTTAACAACAGTAATAGTAATTTATTTTGCTATGTTAAATTGCTCTCTCAACAAAATATTTAACGATTTCCAAATAGTTTTCAAATCAAACGAACATACAAAAAAATTTTTTAATATTATTGAAAGTCAGGGAAAATTTGTTTCTGGAAGTCAGGGAAAAGTGGAATTTTAGAATGAAGAATTTGTGGTAACCCTGAAAAGTGTGTGAGTTTTCTCTACATCATTCTAAACTGTGCATACTTTGCTCCCCAGGTTTCACACAGTAAATGCAATAAGAGTTTCAGAAACTGTTCCTCCTGGTAGTGATATTCCTGATGAGGAACTTTATGCTCGTCCACCATCTGATTCACGAGCTCCTCGTGGTTGGCTGGTAGATCTTATAAACAGGTATTTTATCGTTTTATGTGCCCATAAAATGTTTTACTTTTAGTAGAAATTTAACATAAACGATTCCATTTCAGATTTGGGAGTCTCAATGGATTTGAAATTTTACTTTCGAGATTTCAGAGTGGACGTAATTTAACAGTGCCAGTTATTTATGCTTTAATCAGACCCTTTGGCTTGTGTTACGAACTGTTAACTGTTCACACGATAGTTAAATATCTGATGCCTATTGTCGTGAGTATACAATCTTTAAATTATCATCAGTAGTTATTTATTTATTATTCGAGAGTGACGCAAAGCACGTTGTTATATACATTATTATAGGAAATGGTACCTCTTATTTTGAATAACCTAACTGACGATGAGTTGAAGAAAGAGGCGAAAAATGAATCAAAAAACGATGCAATATCAGCCATAATCAAAGCTGCTAAATGCTTGGTATCGCGCGTACCTCATCAGGAAGAGATGATAAAGAACTTGGAAATACTGAGACTGAAAATGATATTGAGACTCTTACAAATTTCTTCGTTTAACGGAAAGATGAATGCTTTAAATGAAGTTAATAAAGTAATATCTAGTGTTAGTTATCACCAACACCGTAATACAATAGCAGAGGAGGAAGAGTGGCTTACAGCAGAGCGTATGGCAGTAAGTCTTGTTTAAAAGTCTACAACACTTGTTTTAATAACATTTTTATTTTATATATATAATGTTCCTTTAATGCATTAACAAATTCAAGCGTATCATATTAAAAATACAAGGATAGGCTAATGAGAGTCACGAACGGTTCTTGATGCCCAAATTTCATGTATTATAATATCAAAACGTTACATTAAAAAACATTTTAATGTAATTTGATTATAATACATAAAATTTGGACACCAAGAACCGCTCGTGATTATAACATTAAATTACATTAAAATTATGTTTATAACATCAAATTACATTAAAAAATGTTTTTTAATGTAATATTTTGATGTTATAATACATAAAATTTGGGCACCAATAATCGCTCTTGACTCTCATGAGCCTATCTTTGTATTTAAGTTTTAAATTTCGAGGGTCTTTTATTATTAATCGTATCATATTAATTGCTCGACTATTTTACAAATATCATAAATATCATAAATTTGATAACTATATCGTGAATATTGCAAAGTAAGGAGTGCTTTTGTTTGTGGCACAGAAATGGATTAAAGACAATGGGGTATTGGAAATCGTATTGAGGGATTCATTGCATCAGCCGCAGTATGTAGAGAAACTGGAGAAAATTTTACGCTTTATTATAAAAGAACGTGCACTTACATTAGAAGACTTAGACGCTGTTTGGGCTGCACAAGCTGGTAAACACGAAGCAATTGTGAAGAACGTTCATGACTTGTTAGCCAAATTAGCTTGGGATTTTAGTCCTGAACAACTTGATCATCTGTTTGAGTGTTTTCAGGTATGTATCGCAATAGCGTAACTCATATAACTACATCAAATTTGTGCCGAATAGAGTGTTTTCATTGATGAAATGTGGTATTGCTACAGACAAGTTGGAGAACCGCCAACAAGAAACAACGGGAAAAGCTGTTAGAATTGATCAGAAGACTCGCGGAAGACGATAAAGACGGTGTTATGGCGCACAAGGTTAGATCGCCTTAAATATGCAGATTTGTGCATGAATATATTTTGCAAATAGTTTCACTAATAATTTTGTATCTACCGCCCAGGTGTTAACACTCTTTTGGACTTTGGCACATTCTGACGAAGTCCCTACAGAGATCATGGATCAGGCACTGAACGCTCATGTAAAAATTCTCGATTACTCATGCTCGCAAGAGAGAGATGCGCAAAAGGCAATCTGGGTGGACAAGTGCGTCGAAGAATTGAAGAACGGTGATAAGTGGGCCCTCCCTGCGTTGAAGCAAATTCGAGAAATATGTTGCCTTTATGAACCAAATCCCAACCTAGGTCATAGTCAGCGTAGCCATCATTTGCATTACAGGTAATTAATCACAATTAATGGCACATTAAGGGGGGTTTCACCTTTGCCGGCCGTAAAATTAGCCCTTGTTTTATGAATTTTTTTAAGGAAATCTATTATATACAGTAAAACGCGGGTTTTTGCATAAACTTATATATTATTTCAACAGCAAAAGAAATATTTTCTATTTATAGAAAAATGTATTTTAATGCTTCTAAGTGGCGATTGAATGTGGCATGTTTTTCGAGCTGACAGAAGTAATTTCGAAAAAACGTATTAAGATATCGACTTTTTTTTCTTCTTGATCCTAATACTTTAACGCATAGCGTGAACTAAAATGATGTCAATTACCTGAAAT